GGCAGAGAGAGCAGCCGGGGTGGCGAGAGGTGGCTGGGGCAGTGAGGCAGCCGTCCACGGCTGGCAGCGTTGGGGCTGGCAGTGGGACGAGGCTGGGCACAGCCCTCCCAGGCGCTGGCTGGCTCTTGTTTCAGCCCTGGCGTCTGGCCCAAAAGCTGGGAGCGGGGTGTCGGAGGGCCGCCAAGCAGCCAGCAGTGGCCGCAGGATGTGGGGCCGGGAGGAGTGAGCTGGGGGGCAGGGGGAGTGGGGTTATGCGAGGACGCTTGCTGTCGCCTCTCCATCGCCCTCCGAGCTGTACAGGGAGCTGATCCGGACACTGCCGTGTGCTGGAAAGCCACCAAGTGCAGCAGGGTCAGCACATCTTTCATTTCTGAGAAATGCCTGGCTGGCCACGGTGTACTGCAGCCTGTTTCTCAATTCCTGATGGGGATATAATGCTCAGCATTGCTCTGCCTCACCACTGATGTAAGGTGAGCTAAACCCCCAAAGCTGGGGTCCAGGGCGACCGAGGAAGGTGTCCTCTGCCAGCTGGTGTTAATACATGTGTGGAGACAGAAACCACCGTGCCGTGCTCCCCTCCGTGCCTTCTCCAGAGGGAAAGGAGGGCAAGGCAGCTGCGTTTGCTCCCACCTCTCAACCAGGGCATCTGCCAGCAGGACCCATTTGCAGGATCTTGGGTATATGGGGATACAGATGTTGGTGGGGCCATGCCACTCCCTTTGGCATCTGCTCTTTGCCTTTTATTTCAGTCCCTGAGTGTCGCCCTTCCATGATCCTGCTCATCTCTGGGCTGCTGAGCAGGCCGGGCGTCCTGGGGACTGTCACGGCATCCAGCTCTTCCATGGTGACCTGATTGATGGGAATTTGGTGACGAAGCGCACGCACAAGCCTACTGCAGTGCACCTTACAGAAAGGTAATTAAGCAGAGACAGCTGCAGGGACAATCAGATGCAAAGCAAACACAGAATGAATTTAGAAAATGGGCTTAAAAAGTAACTTCATAAGTCAGGAGTAGGCACTGAACAGTTGGGGCTTCCTCCAGGACAGTGACT